AACTCAGTGTTTTAAAGGATTGCTCTACATCTGTGTACTACACAGCTGAGAAAATATAACCGCAGGCTGGTGGTATAGCATGTACCAGGTCATCTCTTAAAAGTAGTGCTACGTAACAACTACCCGGGGACAAGATGAATATACCCGATCGTGTGTTGACTAATACCTGAAGCCTGTCTATATTAATAGTTGTTGTTCGGTGCCATCAAATTCATTCTAACTCATAGTAACCCCACAAATATACACAACAAAATGAGACACTACCCGGCCCTGTGCCAGCCTTATCATTGTTCCTATGTTTGAACGCATGGTAGCAACCACGGTGTCTAACCATTTCCTTGAGGGTCTTCCTCTTTTGTGCTGGACTGAATTCATAGTTCAGGGAGAAGAAAACAACCACTAATTTTTACCTATTCAGGCGGAATTATCCCACACTGCTTTGTCTGCATCCCTGAAAGCTGAGTTATATACTCCATACCTCATCCCCTGCCGGGCCTTCTTCCTCTTTTTTCTCTCAGAATCGCCTGGGGTTACCTGGAGATGCTGTCCTATGACTCTCAATGAACCTTTCTCTACAGGATATTTATGATTATGGTGGAACATAGCTCAAGATCCTAGATTTTAGGCATCTGCTAGGTCAGCCACTTATTTGTGTCACAGGTATGTGCTAAGATGAAACAAAAAAACCCCAATCAGATGGAAATCCTCTTTTAAAAATTCATTCTTTGCTGTGCAGGTAGGGTCTGAAAGAATGACCCTTTTCCTTGGGCGAGTATTGAACCCAACTCAAAGTACCTCTTCTAAGAAAGGCAGCCTAGTAGGGTATACATGGAGGTAGCCCCTAAAACTGGGAATGGCATGTGTCTGCTGCTTTTCATAAGATATTGATTTTCAGTATCATGCGTCCTTTGATTAAGATGGCCAAGTGTTCTGGTGGGCTCTATTGCATTTATATGGTTTCCCCCTCCTTTCAAAAGGTCCAGGCTTGGGTAACATGGACCTTTGTTGTACCTCAGATGTGATCATTTTGCCTGGAATCCTTCCATGTAGTCTGGCAACCCTCTGATGGTCAATTTCTGCGACTTGCTTCTCAAGAAAGCTACGAAACAAAAAATAAAACCCAGTTCTCTCAAGTTGCTTCTGACCCTGTAGGACACTGGATAACGAACCCATAGACTTTCCAAGACTAATCTTGTTGGAGGCAGCCCCCCCCCACCCCCAATTGTTCTCCTGTGGAGTGGCTCTCAGTCTAACCTGGCAACCTTTTGGCTAGAAGCTGAGTGCTAACCAAGAGGACCCCTAAGGAAAGTAGTAAAATTTAAAACATTATCACTATTGAGATATTGGGAATTTGACTTTTCTGAGTATCAAAGGACCCACCAGACTCAGACTGCTTTCCATGTGTAATAGCAGAGGCAGTCAAACTACTATTCTTGCTAGAAGCCCGGCAACGTCCTCAGCCGCATGAGATTCATATGCAAGCATCGTTTTGCACATGCACACTGGTTCTTGCTGGAGAACGTGGTTTCAGCTGGAAAGGAGAGCTATTCTGTGTCTCTCCTACAACTCCGGTGTCTCACAGTTCAGGAGGAAAGCCATCGCTGAATCTTGGGCACAAAGCAAGAGGCAGAACTCCCAGGGGCAGTTTTGTGGTTTTGCGTTGATAGCTCCTGTTCCTTAACATCTTCTTCTAGATCTAACTCTGCTTTATCCTGTTGTTGTTTTTTGCCAGCTTCAAGTCTAAAGACTCCAGCCTTTCAGAAAAGACTCCTTTGCTGAGGAATTCTTCACAAGAGAAAAGGTGAGATTTTCCTGTCTATAAAATGATCTAAATTTCTCGGCATTGCCATTGGCTTTTCTGCTGGGGAATTTCTTCTGCAATAAGAATATTTACCGGATGTGTTTGGTCTCTTCAATATCAATGTAAAACATGGTGTACGATTCTATTCTCGTGCCTATTAGCATAGGTCATGGCACTGACCCAGCGTTTCTTACCGTGACAAGGCCGGCCCTGTCTGAAGCCTTTTGGTGGAGCTCCTGGCATCTAAGGCTAGAGGTCAGGGCTGCTGTTGAACATGCTAAATGCCCAGGGCAGCCCCAACCATAGGGAATGATCTATATGAGGTTGGGATGTTCTACCTTGTATGATATGTAAGAAAATGCCCATTTCTAGTGAGGTCCTCGCTGTAACAAATCTGGGTCTTTATGGCAGGCTCTGAGTGACACCGGCCTAGATGACACAGGCAGGCCTTCTCCTGAGATGACAGTACACGCCTCCCCAGTTGCCTCCCCCTTCTTCCAAGGACAGTCCTCCCCTAGGCCAGCACCTGAATTGTAGACATTTTTAAGGGATAAGAAACAAGATTGACACAATGCTCAGCCATATGAGGCAGAATTCAGGTGTATTTTCACCTTCCCACTTCTGCTCCTGCTTTGGCCACCATCTCTCTGCGGGGTTCGGGAATTCACTGCAATAGCCACCCTAAACTCTCAGACCTTACTCCCAGTTAACGTGGATTATTAGGGAAGTAAGAGGCACCACCTTGGGATACGGATAACCTTGGAAATAAAAGGAACAGCTTGAAAGCAGGCCAGGAAACCCAGAGGCAAGGTCAGGAAGGGGCCCTGATGTAGAGAACGCGTCTCTCCTTTCTTTAACGTAGGGCAGTTTTCAAGCAAGAAACCAGCTTCTTTCCCTTGTCCGGCCTCTTCGCCCTCAGGCCTCTCCTTCTCCAGCCTCTTGGGTTGCTAGTTGGCCTAGATCATAGCCAGTGTAGACGCTTGCTCAGAGATATCATCTGCCGCTCTGCCAAAGATCCCTCTGCTGTCTCCCTCTCTCTGGTAAAAGGCCCATCTCGTATGTGGCTCTGCCTCCACATGGCTCTTTCTCTTTGCCAGCCCAGGCCTCTTTGCAGCTCTCTGAGCTGTAACTTTTGCTTACCAGCCCTGAGAGGAAATGTGTGTGTGTGTGTGTGTGTGTGTGTGTGTGTGTGATCTGTTACAAGGTGGGGCCTTCTTCATCATATCAGAGTTCAAAATCTTAAAGTACCAATGAGATGTCAATCAACTTGGGTTGCAGAAAAGTAACACTGTCTGCCAGCTCTTCCCTTGGTCCAAAGTAGCAGCTTTCTAGGGGAGAGGTTACTGAGTGATCCGCATCAGAGGAGTGATAATGTTTCTTTGCATACAGAACATTCATATTTTCTCTGCTTCTTAGTGTGTGTAGATGTGTGAATGAAGCTAATTGAGATGGAAGCGGTGTGATCGTTTTGATATTTTGTTATTGCCAACTTTATTTCATTGCAGTGCTTTTTGATCCAATCGTGTATTAGGATACTGTTAACTGATTTATATTTTCAGAGAGACTATCTCTTTTGTTATGAGGGTAGGTGTACATAGCTAGAATCTGCACTATATAACTTAATCGCTATTTGACTCCTCTGGCTATTTAAGTTTAGATTAATTACAAAACAAAACAGCAGCAACAGCATGCATTTCCTTAGCTGCTCTGGTGACATGGCTGCCACAGAGGACACGGCAGGAAACACTTACAGCACTGCTCTGCTTCCCACCTGTAAGGAAACCGTGGTTCCGTATAGGGTTAGTTTGTGTGTTTGGGGCACTTACGGCCGCTCTTACTTCTCACGCGCCTGAACATTTCCCAAGGCCGTGACATTGCTTGAAAGATGAGTGGTGATTATCAAGGCTGTGCCCTGCCAGTGTCACCATTGCTGGGTCACATTCTGGCTTTGCACACCCTACCTCACCCCGATGGGATTCTTTTTATGAATATGACTATTTTAAATTGTTGTGAACCAGTGCAAAAGCAATGATAAATGTTTGAAAAATCATAGCATCCTATGGAACTGGCCTCAAGGTCTACTGAGCTAGGGGGATCACTCATTTCTATAGATTGTTAGTTGGTGGCAGTGGAAAGACTTTATGCAACACATGGCTATCTTGGGCATTTGTACAATCGTGAGTGTAATCGTGTAAATGAATTGTTCAGAAGCCCAGGAATGTGACTGCTAAGGTTTGGTTTTCCTCATGGTCCACCCTTCTAGTTACAGAGCTGTGCTCTGCCATGTCCCGTCCCACTGCTAGGTAAGTGTGATCACGAAAGCTCCACGACTCCACCTTTCCGACAGGCTTGTGTCCAGTGCTACCGGAGGAGAAAGGTTCACAACACTCTGAGTTACAGGACAATTAATATAGAACTAGGTAGGGATAACTGACTGATTGATCTTCAAACGAGAGCAAATATTGAGATAATCAGGTGCAGATGTGAACCAGAAAGACCAAGATTCAGGACAGACTTTTGTTTCCCAAAAGTCCACCACCTATTTTGGTTCTTTTTTAATGGGAGCTCAATAAAAATACTTTATTCCTTTTAATGTAAACGGAAAAATCACAGTGTTGCTCCTAATAAATATATTTAAAATTTTAAAATGGGAGTTGAGTGAGCACTTTCCACCACACACATTTCTATACCCATTTCATCTGTGACATTTATTGAATCCCGACACTGTAACAGCATTCTTTCTACTTCCTCCGGTGTTTTCTTCTTCTATTTAACTTCTTTTGGTACTACTTCCTGCTGTCTGAGCTTTCTCCCTTGGCAAAAGCTGCTCTTTGGACCTTGCACGGCTGGTGTGTTCCTTCCTATATGTGGTTTGCTTTAGAGCTGAGCCGCAGGGAGTGAGCTCGGTTGTAGACCTGAATGAAGACCAAAGGGCCTCATGGTCTTGGAGGGAACATTAGTCGCTATCAGATGCATAAGCCTGTCCTTTAGAAGATTTTGTGTTTTGTTCCATTTCTCCACTCTATTTGGAATGTTATGTTGTGATTCTTTTTTGAGGAGTTTATCATGGAACCTGGGCACCATCTAGTTCTTCTGATCTCAAGGTTGAGGAGGCTGAAGTTTATATGATCCATTAGTCCTTTGGACTATTTGTTTCCAAACATTATCGATTTTCCTCATTTTTGCTTTGGACAGGGAGAGACCAATAGTTTTGCTTATAGATTTTTAGTAGTTGTTATTGTAAATATTCTGACCCAATGAGTACATAGACCACTTCCTAATTTTTAAGACTCCAGTCACTACAATACGATATAAAACATTATCTTTGTGAATTATGTTACACCAATTGATTTAACTATTGATTTAACTAAGCCCCCAACCTCAGTGATTTAGTTGTAGTGTTTAGTTATAGTCAAAGTTTTCATAATTTTGCCCCTAATTGTTTTACTATCTACATGGATATATTTACAGCATATACAAATATATATGTAGAAATATTTTTGTCAAACCTATATATGGTTCTGGGTATTGTCATTCACCTATCCACACCTGTTCAACTTTTTATCTGTATAAGTTACCTACTTATTATTATTTGTTATTGCTGATATTGCAGGAATCTGTATGTAATTGTATTTTCCTTTGCTGTCAGTAACTCTTGTGCATTTTTCAGTGTCTTAGTGATATTGTGCCTATCATGCCCTTACTGTATATTTCCTTTCCTTTAACTCAAATTAATATGTCTATTAATTGGTTAGTGAGTTTCCTTCCCTTGCCGTCCCTAGTAGACATCAAATAATGTTTCTGTGTATAAATCTTTACTTTTCATAATAGTAGACTCATACACCATTTGTCATTTTCTGATGAACTTATTTCACTGATTTAACTCAAACATCCACATTATAAGTTGCATAGCATTCAGTTTTGTGTATTCATCAAAGTGTATTCATCCTTTGAGGAACACTTAGATTATTTCCATCTATTTGCTATTGCAAATAATGCTGCTATGCACATGGGTATGCATGTATCTATTTGTGTTTTGGATACTATTTCTCTAGGATATAGTATCCTAATAATGAGATTGCTGGATTAAATAGTATTATTTTCAATCTACTAAGGAAATGCCAGGCAGTTTTGTTCTGGTGTTGTTCCATTTTACAGTCACAGTTTCAAACTCTCTCCACCCTTGCCCACATTTGTTTTTTCTTCTTATTGGACTTTGCTATTATTGCTATGATAAGATGATATCTCATTATTATTTTGATTTTCATCTCTCTAATAGCTAATGGTCAGAAGTATTTCTTCATGTGTTTTACTGAATGCCTTTTTTGGTGATGTATTTATTCAGTTAAATTAGGCTGTTTGATTCTTACTGTTGAGTTTTTCTCTTTCCTTTTTCTAGTTTTAAACTTTACATTGGGAATTGGGTGAAGTTTACATAGAAGATCCTCAGTTTTATATTCAACAATGCATACGTGTTTGTTTCAGCTCATTCATCACATTCTCCTCAATTTACCACCACCTAACCCACTTCCTCCTATGTTTCCTGTTTCTGTTCCTTCTCATATCTTTTAGGATTTGGGGTTTTATTCCACATTTTTCTTTCACTCCATATAATGCAATTCCTTTCAGAGTAGTTGCAACTGGTAACTGGTTATCACCCAGTTCTTCTGATCTTTGTTCTTGAATAAATGCTGCCCTGTGGATCTCAAGGGTTGACTATTTTAAGATGCATGTACCTCACTAGTGTTATTGTTCCACTGATATTACTTGACTGAAAGGTGAGCCTGGAAGGTGAACTCAGGTCTAGACCTGAAGAGTGACTAAGGGCCACAGTCATGGGGTTACTCCGTTCTTTTTCCAACCAGCAAGTCTGGTATCTTTTATGATTTTGCGTTTTTGTTTTACATTTTTCTCCCATTCTGTTTGGACTTTGTAACATGATCCCTTTCAGAGAAGTTTATGCTGGTGGCGGATATCAGCCAGGTCTGCTTTCATGGTTGGGGAGACTTCTGTTTGAGTGGTCCATTAGTCCATTGGCATAAGTGTTTCCATGTGTCTGTGGAGTTTCATGATTCTTCTTTCCACTAGTTGGGGAGAGACCAATAGTTTCAACTTAGAAGGCTGCTCTCAAGCATATAAAAAAACCCCAGTTGCTGCACACCATATTAAGACGCAGAACACTGTCATTGTGAACTGTTATGCCAATCGACCTTACATCCCCAAGACAATGGTCTTGATGTCCCAGGAACAGAATCTCATTCCCTCAAGGCATTTGGTTATGCTTAAGAAGTTTTAATATGGGTCTGTTTAGGTTATCAGCCCATATTTGTTAATGAAAGTAGTGTGTTTCCAGGGAATCCAGGG